TAAAGAGTTAAATCTTAAAATACATTCAGGTACCGTAACTAATAACAAAACTGTATCTTATTTGTGTATCACTCGGCTGTATATCCTCAAATCATCTCTGAATTGGCGCTGACACTCTCCTTCCTTCTGGAGGGTGGCTACTTTTGTTCCCCATGGTCCCTGTGTGTGTTGTAGAGCAGTGCTCCCCAACCTTTTTATCGCCGCGGACCGGTCAACGTTTGATAATTTTACCGCGGCTCGCTGAGGGGGGGAAATCGTGGAAAGTCGGACAAACCCGAGAGAAATACACCACAGCAAATAAAATGGAAATAATTTAATGTTCCTTGGGCGGCCTGGTACCATTTGATCCACGGACCAGTACCGGTCCGTGGCCCGGGGGTTGGGGACCACTGTTGTAGAGTAATCACCGATCCCAAGTCGCTCCAGTGATGGACTACAATCTCATGTTTAATTTGCTAATTTGTATTGCGATTGTAGTCCATCACAGGAGTGAGCTTGGAGTGGTGGCTATTTTACAACACACACAGGGACCATGGGGAACAAAAGTAGCCACCCTCCAGAAGGAAGGACAGTGTCAGCATGAATTCAGAGATGATTTGAGGATCTACAGCCAAGTGATACACAAATAAGATACATTTCTGTAAATATACAAGGTACTTGAATGCATTTTTAAGACTTAACTCCTAAATTTAGTACCACTTTAACGTACAGGATGAAGAACCATATACTGTATGTATGGGGGACAGGAGACAATGTAAGATATACCTATTGTATATATAGATATGTGCGTTCTAAGCAATGAATGCAGAACATGGAGTGACATATGTCCACACACAAGAAACAGACGGGCTGTGTAGAGGAAGGAAAGGGCAAACACATACATACATTGTTTTAGGAGACCGATAAACCTCAAATCTGCAGTGACTTACATTAAAGTGAACCTGTGCATCATTTGTTTTAATTTTAAAAGTCCTACTTAAGAGAAGACTACACAAGATGCCTGCTATTACCTTTATTAGACCCTGTCTGATTTAGTTTTATTTATTACTGGGCCTCCAATTTCCCCAAATTCCCTTACCAATCAGCCTTACTCATGCTGTCCTCATTGCACAGGACAATGGCAACTGCTAGAGCTTAGCCATGGAGTCAGGAAACAGTCAGACCCTAGTAACAAAGTAACAAAATCAGAGAGGGGCACATTTGAGGCTTTAATATCTAATAAATTTGCTAGCATGCACATTGTGGTGTCTTTACCTAGGCAAGACAGTTCCATTAAATCTTTCAAATGCAGTACCGGTTCACTTGAAAGAGCTCCAAGACATTCACAAACAATTTGAAAGTGCTGATGCGAACTGATCATATTTATCATGAAACAGCAACTTAATCAAAACCAGGCAGACTCAGCAGGAAGGCCTCCAACTTGGCTTTAAGCAGGATCCCTGCCCATCCCAAGATGCAGTACTTTGAGGTGTGGGGGCTGCAAAATCCTGCAAGGTGAGAGTGCCCCAGATCAGGGGAACCCAAAGCGCATCAAAAAGATTTTGTTATGTTTTTACAAGAATATTCCTGGTTGTTAAGATGGGTCAGAAGACTTTATGAAGATGGTCAGACCATAAACCAAAGTCCAGCCAGCTATTTGCTGGTGCATATATCCAGTGTTTTATTGAAAGGTACTTTTAGGTGCTTTGTAACCTGTTTAAATCACATAACCCGGTTTACATAACAGGGTAAATCTTATCTACTCCAATACCATGAAAATATTAGCAAGGGGAAGTGGATGAAGACTGGCACCAGAAAATATGAATACAGGCAATTTTACTGTCACTATTGCTCACTCACCCACTGCTGAAACTCACCATACCTCCCCCACCACTTTATTCGACTACCAAAGTTATGTAAAATTATCCAGGATTGCCAGATATGGAATAGGGAGTTATGCAATTCTGGGTGCCTGAATGGCCTTTCGTCAAGCCTAAGTGCCATCATCACAGCAAGATGGAAGAAGGGTCCTTAGCCTAGTGTAAGCCCCAATCAGAATTGCCGGAAGCTTAAACTGGACTTCTTTTCACTCTCAGGAGCAGAGGGTGAGAGAAGAAAATGTGAATATTCACCAGGATTGGTTGGGCAATTATGGCCTGCTTGGTCTCTCTTATTTGTGCCCTTCCCAAGCAAGAGCGCAACTACAGACATAGTAGACCATGTAAATGCTATGGGGCCCAAAAGAACAGGGGGCAGAGCTGTTTTCCTAAACAGTGGTTGATGAACGTTATTATAGTTTAGGAAATACATATAAGTGAATGTTTACAAAGTTTGAGAACCTCTACACAATTGCTATAAAAACAATTAGTATTCCTTATCATGGGATTTGCCTTCAAGATTAGAGATGGGAGGCCTTTGCAATGGTTTGGCTATGAAACCCCACCCTTTACAGGTATAGCTTCCTGTTCCCGAGTACACATGTATATGAACGTGCCTGCATTCATATACAGGTGAAACTCGAATAATTCGAATATCGTGCAAAAGTAATGGCAGTAAGTGCTGCAAAAGGGGCCCAAACCAAGTACTGAGTACATATGCATGCTTGTACTTTTCAGAGGTCCGATATTGTTCTATATACAATCCTTGTTTTATTGATTGCATGTAATAATCTACTTTTTTGAGGTTGTGGATTTGGGGTTCTTGGGGTTTTCATGAGCTGTAAGCCATAATCCTCACAATTATGACAAATCACGGCTTGAATTATCTTGCTTTGCATGTAATGAGTCTATCTCATATATTAGTTTCACCTTTTAAGTTGCATTAGTGAAATAAATGAACTTTGCACGATATTCTAATTATTCGAGTTTCACCTGTAAGTAATTTCAAACTTCAGTAAAATGTGCAATTGTCCAATTATAAAATAAGTTTGTGAATGTTCTTGCTTTTTGCATAAAAGCTATCTTTATTTTAGGTTCAGAGGTCCCCTAACCATAACAAAACATGTTAATTCATATACAGAAAATTGACCAATAACTAAACAATATCTGTACACATTACTCTACAGAAAATGTTATATAGCATACAAAATCTGAAAAGCTAATGATGAGCTGATCTGAGTGAATTACAGGCGAAGGAGATGTGTCAAGCAATGTTCACTGGGGAATTGTATGTAAACAATCCTCTCCACAAATGGAAGGCCTTCTGGGTAAATGCCATTTCTTTCAGCGTATTCACCTGTCCATATTGCCTAAGCTCAATATGCTGAAAAAAAGCAATATATAGCCCATAGGCCCATTGTCTTTAAATAAAGAATGAGGTGGATAAAGTCAATCTAAAGCTAAAACTAAAAATTGTTATTGTTGATGAGATGAATCACCCATGGTTTCCTCAAAGTGTAATGCTAATCAATATTTTTTTGCTTTGGATATTCAAGTTGTTATTGCAGTCTCTGGGACTGGAAGTGAGAGGAAATCTGCCCAGGGAAAAGGTAATAAAAACCTGACAAAGGTTTTAGCCCTTCCCCTCTTAACAAAAAAATGCTCTATAACTGACTGCGTTCCAGTTGGGGATATTTCCCTGACAGTAAATGGGATGAAATCTCTCTGATAAGAACACAGAAATCAATAGAGACCTAAGCATGAGTAAGGGGCTAGACACACATTTTCACAAGGTAGACGGGGCTATTAATTAAGCATGTTGGCTTGAGCTCGGTAGCTCTCTATAAAACAGGTTCCCCTTTAAGAAGGGGGGCACCCAAATTGAGAGTTCCACATGTAATCATGTCAATGAGAGTGCCGAATAAAGTTATGGAGAGTCCAAAGTCTTTAATCATTCTTCTGATGGCAACCAGAAAAAAAAATGATGGTCATCATCAGATGAATGATTAAATACGTTGAACTCTCAAAGTATTTGTTTGGCACTCTCATTTACTTGATCAATAGAAACCTGGCAAAAGGTCAGGTAGTTGCAATAGAAACCCAAAGACACATAAGAAACTAGTGAGCAAATCATCCCTTTGGCCAACCCTGACCCTACAGACGTAGCCTCAGTCAACTCAAGCCGAAACCCCCAAAAGAGTCTTGCCACTTTCATGGCTCCATGGTAAATTATGCCACTTTCATGACTCCATGGTGAATTAGTCTTACTCGAATATCCCTGTCCCATAGAAAATTCTAAAATGTCAGATTTTTCAGAAGAGAGAACAAGATGGCAACATAGTTGCAATAGCAGGTAGGAGGACCTGGGCACACAGGTAAAGAGATATTGCCACACACCCAAAGACACATGCGAAACCAGTGAGCAATTCATCCTTTTGGCCAACCATGACCCTACTGAGTCTGACTTAGCCTCAGCCAACTCAAGCTGAACCACCCAAAAAAGTATTGCCACTTTCATGACTCCATGTTGAATTAGTCTTACTGCAATTTCCAGTTCTGTCCCCCAGAAAATTCTAAAATGTCAGATTTTTCAGAAGAGAGAACAAGATGCCAACATAGGTACAATAGCAGGTAGGAGGAGCTGGGAACACAGGTATAGAGATATTGCCACACACCCAAAGACACATGAGAAACCAGTGAGTAATTCATCCTTTTGACCAACCATGGCCCTACAGATGGAGCCTCAGCCAACTCAAACTGAACCCCCCAAAAAATTATATTAGGTCAAGACTGCACCCACTTATTCAACTCCTCCCCTTTTTTGTGACTAAAATCAGATTGTTCTTTTAAAACGGTGACAGGTGAGAAGTATGAAGGAACTAAAAGATAAAACATTTAATGTGAGGTTTGCCAATTATTATTGATTATTGATAGCATTTACACAGAAACCTCTGTTCCTTTGGGAAAAAATTATTTTGCTTAGTCCAAATAAAACAATGTTTTCTGGGGAGTAGTGATTTCTTTCTATGCACTCCCTGGATCTTTCTTTTACAGAATATGTTATACACTTGCTGAAGAACACATATGAATAAGTTATATGAAGGGAGGTGAAGGAAAGGTCTGTGGATCTGAGTAGCTTCTTACCATCTGTACTCGGTACAAGATGCTGATCCCCAGAGTCATGAACGGCTTGGAGAAGTCGATGACTTTTTCCCTTTCGGCCGTGATGGTGAACGCAGCGACCGCCAGGTCTGCCTTCTGTTAGGAAAGACGGAGAGTGAGAACAATGATGATTAAATATATATATATATATATATATAGATATACATAAGTGAAAGGTCCTCTTGCTAGGACACTACCCAACCCACTGGCACTTGCCTTCCCTGCACACTCCTCTCTGCCCCATTTGCCTGTCAGAGCCTTCAAAATACCTAGTACTTTCAGGTATGAGCAGGGGCGTAAATAGAAATCACAGGGCCCCATAGCAAAATTTTTTATGGGGCCCTGTGATTATGAGGGATCATGCAATGTTCTCCCTCTCCTCCCAGGATGCTTTGGTCAGCCCTGACCTGATCACTATCATGTGGGGAGGAGAGACATTTACCCAGATAGCAAGTAATTGAGCTGCAAGTTTGAAAATGACTTGCTAAACTATTGCAGACTTGCCAAGCTTCACAATTTTGTTGCACAATTACAGCAATTCTGCATTGCAAGTCTCCAGACCAGCGAGCTTGCAGAGCTCTTGCTAAGACCTGCAGGACTCTTGCTTTAGGCTTGCTAAGCAAATTTGCTTCAAATTCAAAAAGTGTCAACTAGAACTTGTGCTGCAAGTGTTCTGCAAGTCTACAACTTGCCAGGAATGTGTGCAGCAAGTTAGGAAGAATTACAATTTAACCCTGCCACAAGTTTGTGGCAAGTTATCCTTGCTATCTGGGTATTAACCCTTTGTAAACTCTGACACAAGCCAACCTGGAGCTTAGACAGCGATTAGACCCAGGGCTCTAACAGGTGAACGAGTACAGCAAAGCTAAGTACAGTATTAGTGTATTAATTAGTATTCTATATTAATTAAACCTGCCCCGAACTGGGGAATTAAAGTGCCGCTCCAATTAAAACGGTCCAGATACAACTTTATTCCACTAGGGTCAAGGGACAACCGAGTAGAGTAGCCAATGAGTTTTGAGGGGTCCAAAGCACACCTCCTTCATCAGGGCTTAGTGAGAGAAACCATGTATGTTGACTACAATCCCTCCAGCTTAAAATCTGTATTAGGCTGTGTAGGGAAGGCTTCAGGCTTGTCTGCAGCTGATTTGGCACCTGCCAAACCAGCTGCTGACAAGCCTGAAGCCTTTAGAAGCCAAAAGAACAGGCAGCAGGTAAAACGGCATACATGCAGTTCTGAAATGTGTTGTCAGTCACCCTCTTCATGCTATGTAGTATATAGCACAGCAAATGATGTAACCTTAAGAATAAGTACACGACTTTATAAATGCATTGCAAGTTAAGAAAGATCTCCTATATGCATATTTCAGTTGGCTATTAAGCTGTCTGGAGTCACCCTTTAATGAGAAATAATGGTTGTCATACAATACTGGAGGCTATCCTCATTAGCTTTCATCTGCCATAGCGAGCCATTGCCTGCTAATAATCTACTGATGTCTCCAGCGGCTGCAGTGATGGATCCGGAGTTCTCTCATCTTCTTGTAGCGACAGTATCAGTACGTGGGATGGAAGGAATGATCCGTATATCCCTTAGGTTGATGGGAGGGTACATGACCGGAATTAATGCGCTAATAAATTGCCTATCAAGGGCACGCACTGTGCTTTTTGCTTAGCTGTACGCAAACAATGCAGTTATAGGTTTACTATGGGTAAACACTCCGAGAGCTTCCCATCATATCCTCAGCTGGGAGCTATAATTTAAAGCATACTCATTTTCTAGCCCTAATCTTCTGTGCAAATTCTGCTTCTTACATGCCTTAAACCAGGCCCATTACAATTGTCACCGCCATCTTATATTTTACTTTCTGCTTCTTACTCATGTACACCTTCAGTTGGGCTCATCACATTTCCCACCACCATTTTATTTTATACCCTACTTCTTATTCCTGTATGCCTTAAAGGGGGCCCTCAACAAGTTTCACCCGTTTTTTAATTGTACACCCTGCTTCTTAGTCGTACTCACACCTTACAGTGGGAATATTACATTCCCCAAGCCATCCTATATTTTACTGTCCGCTTCTTAGTCAAACTCACCTTAAACTGGGTCTATTACAATTCCCACCCCAACCATATAATTAACGTCCTGTTTCATAGTCATACTCACCTAAAAAAAAGTCTATTACATTTCCCAACCCTATCTTATATTTTAAGCCCTGCTTCTTAGTCATACACACACCTTACAGTGAGCATATTACATTCCAATAGCCATCCCATATTTTACTGTCAGCTCCTTAGTCATACACACCTTAAAGTGGGTCTATTACAATTCCCAACCTCACCATATATTTTACGTCCTGCTTCATAGTCATACTCACCTAAAAGTCTGCTTATTACAATTTACCTATCTTATATTTTAAGCCCTGCTTCTTATTCAAATTATTATATATGTCCCATCACTGGTGGATCACAGGATTCATGGTGGGTGCAGCAGTGACAAGAGGATGTTGCCGTACTCATAAGCAATGGAGAAAAGAGTCTCCGACACTCCAACTGTGATATAACTTTGCCCTTTATTAAAGCAAGTCTATCATTATAAGACAGACTTGTGTCAACAAAGGACAAAGTTATATCACAGTTGGAGTGCCGAAGACTCTTCTCTCCACTGCTTCTTAGTCATACACACCTAAAGTGGGCCTATTACAATCATCGTCACCATTTTTTAATTCACACCCCACTCTGTAGTCATGTATAGTTTAAGGTGAGCCTATCACAATTCCCACCACTGTCTGCAACGTTATACCCTGCTTCAGGGCTGGATTAACCATTAACCACAAAATAAGCACGTGCTTAGGGAACCAAGAGAAGAGGCACTACAGAGTTTTTCCCCTAGCTACAACATGCACGTCTGTGCAGAAACCTGTACCTGGGAGTGACAGCTGGTGCATGCAGCCCCTATCTAGCTCAATAACAGGACATGGCTGCATGCTGCTACATGCCGACCTGAATTTGCACATGGTACAGATGCACTTCCCCTGGACACAGCCAGTCTACCAAAAAGCATTTCAATAAATACGAGGTAAGCGTCTACCAAACATTTTAATATCGGTTTTGGGTTAGCTCACCCTTCATGGTGATCTCAATGTGGTTACAGAATACAATGTTGGGGTGCTCACATTGCTAGCCATAATACTACTTGCATAGTACTAGTGCAAAGGTGACATCAGGCTCCATCCAACTCCAAACCTGCAATACGTGGGCACAAGGGCTGCAGGCCGGGAGCTGTGTCAAGAGAAGAAGCCACACACCGCAGACCACCACAAATAACAACTTTAATCCATAAGGCTATGAACCGTCAGCACACCAAGACTCCCCACCTAGAAGCTGCCTGCTCTAATGCATTTGACCCTTTAATAAAGATCGCTAGACTGGGCAGCTTTTAGGTAGGGTCCCAATGTTGTGTTTCTAATGAGAAGCACAACATTGGTGTCCTACAGCAAATACCAGCTATGAGATAAGTACTTCCTGTCCCAGTGACATTACTGGTTCCTTGACAGGGAACTGCAAAGGACAAGGAAGATTACACAACCTAACAAAATTTTGTTTTGTTAGTAAATAATTTTCCAAATGAAGACAGGACACAGTTTTGGAACAAGCTGGCTGCATTCAGACGATGCTACGAAACAGAAAAAGTCGCAAGCCACACACTGAAACAGATATTCAAGTTCTACGTCACAAATAACAGGTAAGATCAAGCCGCTAAACCTTTTCTATATCATTCAGGTTTATAGCTGGGGAAGAATAATAATTTTTCTGCTACAACCCTTAGCACCCGCTCCCCTTCTTCCTGTAACAATGGAGAAACAGCTTTGCCAGAGATAAATGCCCCTCGTACTTACAAATTGACAGGTACTCAGTCTGTAACTGATGAAGAAATCTGATTTGGAGTAGGCCTTATCTACTTCGGATATCAAGTGGCCAGAATCAGGGGGCACTCTAGTACAAATATAAACCCAGGTTTTGGTGTTGTGGTTGAGAGCCCGGCCATTCCTCTCCCTACTAGTATGGCTGATGTTACACTCTTGATGTTGGAGACAAATCAGCAGCATTGGGATTGCTAAGAGACTGCTTGCTAGTCTCTATGAAATCGCTTCCACAAAGCGGGGCCAGCAAGATGTCCATCCATTGTAGTCCCATGAGATTTAGCAACATTTGGGGCCAGCATGGGACTGTTCAACAGAGGTGTGTGAAATGCTATACAGCCTATGTTGCTAGCAGCAGAGTTCTCCTTGTGACAGCCTACGCCTCACTTTTGGCCCACTTTTGTGATGGTCTCACTGGCCACAAATGTGGCTTAGAGGGCAGCAGGGGCCAGGCTTTCATCCCAGAAAATAAGAATGAGAATTCTTCATTTTAAAAAGGAACCATTGTTTTTAGTTGAGAGGTGCTGAGTTTTAAAAATGACAGTTATATTTCCTTTATGTTAAAGCAACCCCCAAAAAGGCAAACCTGTAAAAGACAATTGGAAACACTTATCTTGCCTGCTCTCACCAAAACTGCTTTAATCTCAGGAAATCGTCACATAAAGTCTGCTGGGTGTCAATAACATGGGCCCTCCAGATCAGTAATCTGTCCTGCAACAACTGGGAGACCAGTAGGAGGAATCAGTCAAAGCTTCTGAGGGTCAAAGCGATGGACATTCTTCCCAGTGGACAATGGGAAAAGTAGGCATTTACAGTTTTCTTGCACAGGGATGCATTTTTGGGGTTCTTAATGACAGGGTCACTTTAAAGAAGAATATAGATATTCTTAACCCTTGCAGTGGGGCTACTCCCTCGGGGCTTGTTCACACCATGTCCGGACCAAATCCGGACCAGAACAGTTTTTGTCCAACACCTGAAATGCATCCCAATGTATTCCTATGGTATTTCTGGGTTTTGTTTCCACCAGTGCAGCCCATTCTGGTGCAGGGGGAAAAAAAACTCTGGATGCACTACTTTTTCTGGTCTGGAACGCACCAAAACACATGCAAACGCGTCAAAAATGCATGGAAATGCACTGGACTGCACCTGAAAACTGATTTTAAGCTTAATAAAAAC